TATTTCTTATAATAACAGCAGTTATGTTCGTATAACGACATAAACTCATATATTCACATATTTATGTACATATGTATGTACTATACGCTTTTACCATGGAATTAAATAGAGAAAAGACACGCGATCGAACTCTTTCAGTCGAGTAAAGTATTTCTTTTTTCTGGTCTTGTACGTGAATGACGGTTCAGTTGATCCACATTAAATTTGTATACCCTGAACCCATTGAAAATGGGAAATCAGGGTATAATGGTTTTGTTAAATGTATGTAACAGTCATAAGGAGCAGACCCCATATATGTATGTACATATATCCTCGATCAGAACGACGAGCTGAGTCGTTTTAGCTCTGTCCGTCTGCCCGTATGTTTTAACGCATCGATCTCAGAAGATATGTATAAGACTTGATTTTTTTTTGTTATGTATATGTATCTCCTACATCTTTTAAGCTATTCACTAAATTTTTAATGTAGATTTTCATGTACTTAATGGAATTACGATTTTTGTCAAAATTTACCCCCCACCCCCAATTCACCCCCTCACCATCACATTTGTAAAAGGAGTATTTCAAATACTAAAGACTTGTGCTTTGGCAAATACATGCATATCTATGTTATATTCATAGTCTGAAAGTTTCATGAAGAAAGTACATCCACAAGAAAACAATTAAATTTGCATAGTAAGCCCACACTGCAGCCAGTGCGTGTTTATGCGTGCGTACGCATGTCTGTGTGTGTGCGTGTGTGTGCATGTGCGAATAATTATTGAAATATCAGTTGCTCGAAGAGTTCAGGGGATCTCGTAGTCAGGCAGTCTCGACTACAGCTTTCTTACTTGTTTCTATTGCTCACACTGTTATACAAAAGAAGAAATTGTATTAATAAATCCTTTATACCTATGTATGTAGATCAAAGAAAAAAATCTGCATTTCACCGTAGTGTGGATAATAAATTGTTAACGGAATAATTCATTTCGTAACAATCCTAATTCGCTAGACCAGGAATCTGGGAAATGTTAAATGTTAATGTCTAATAATGCTAAATTGTATTTATTTGCGTAATTAACTTAACTAAATTAAATTATTAAATAATTTTGTATTTTGTGAAAAATATATGTTTGACTTGATCTGATTTATTTAATGTACTTTTTTTTTAAATAATTGTTGACTAGTGTTTTTTACATCGTCTTCAAAATTTAAGACTAAGGGTAAAATTATTTTGCGTTCATTAACGTGAGTGCAAATTATTTTGTGAGTTGGCAGGGTTTATAAATGCCTCGTGAAATAGCCCAAGCATTTATTGCTGCATAACATCGTCCAGCATCAACAACAAAAGTAAAAAAGCGTTTCTGCAAAACATTTATATTTTGCTCAATAATGATTATTCACGTAAGGTTAAATCATTTAATTTTAAATACTGACAAATAAAATTTAAAAATTTCAGATATCCTTGACATTTTTAATTATTATAATTTCATTATTTCTGTATACGGGAAAGACACAAGGAAACTCGATTCAAAATGAAAGGGACGCGACCGATACTAATTTGAACCATTCACAAATTTATTCTGATTATCAGCAGTTTGAGAACTTTGACCCTAATTTAATTTTGAATCGCAGCTTCAATGAAATCCGAAAACGTAGATCAAAAAACAAACGGCAAAATGCATCTGCAGCTTCTCATATACCAAAATCTGCTCGAGATTCAAAAAATATCATTTTCACTACACCTGCAAATCAACAGACGAGGTCCAAGAATAACAAAGACGTGAGGATATATGAAACGTTTGAAGAAATTCACGAGCATGTAAATGAGCCTGACGATCACGACCCAGACACCCAGCCCTCTAACCACCACAAGAGTCACGATGTTGGTGGAGTAGAAATCAGTGAGAAGAAGAAACATAATATACCTATTAAAATTAAAGTAAAACATCATCATCATCATCATCATCATAATCATATTAAAGAAGTGATTAAGACCGTACCAAAACCGTATCCCGTAGAAAAAATTGTGCACATTCCAATTGAAAAAATAGTGGAAAAAATTGTCCAAGTTCCAAAAATTGTTAATGTAACGGTTGAAAAAATAATACATGTTCCTATCGAAAAGGTTATTGAAAAAATTGTTCGAGTTCCCAAACCCGTTCATATTCCAAAGCCATACGTAGTTGAAAAAATTACGGAAAAAATTGTACATGTGCCGAAACCATACCCAGTACTAAAAACAGTTCCATATCCAGTTGAAATCAAAGTACCCGTAACTGTTGAAAAGAAAATTCCTGTACCCTATACCGTAGAGGTTGAACGAAAGGTGCCAGTATACATTAGGTCCCAAGAACCATATAAATTTGAGCAAAGATCTAATAATTTTGATGAGAAGCATACACACTTTAAAGAAACGTCTAACTCTCCAGTTTATTCATATGAAAATTACAATAATAACCATAAGCTCAGTCAATCCAAGCAAATGGATTTACCGACGAGTACTCAATATCATACCTATAACGAAGCCATAGATCAGCATCCGGCGAACATAGATAGCTCACAACATATCAGACAAATGGAACAATCAACAGCCGAAAGTACACTTCTTCCCATAAAATTTCTGGAGACGAAGACTCCATTTAACCTTTTTGTCGCTAATAATGACACATCATTTGATGTAAATCCTCAAACATTCGCCAACAAATTACAAGAATTACCATTTTCATTTCCCATTGAGTTTATTCAAGTACATCCAATGCCTTTTCAAAATCCTATTCGATTGGAATCATCTGTATCCCAACAATCGCTTAAAAATACTTGATGCGAACCAAATTCAAAGTCTTTTCTTTCTTTTCTTATTAAAAAATGTAGTTTAAATTACTTAAGAAAACAAAGCTGTTCATTCGTGTTCATTGTTATATATAGTTTAAGAAGGACCAATAAAAGAACTGATCAAATAAACATAATTTTATTTCATTTTCTTTAATTTTTGTTTAAAATTAGTTTTGTTTAAATACTTATACATATGTAACAGGCAGCAGCATGTTGTGCATGTTGAACCACCCAAGATGAACAAGCTATGGTGGATATACCTACGCCAATTGGAGACGTGGGAAATCGGATAGGACTGTATTTCCTACAGTTTAAGCGTTAATTTAAATAGTTGAGTTACTAGTAACCGGAATCATCAAAATTGTACAGTTAGGTTACGTTAGCTTATTCTAAGAACTGAAAATTTATGTCTTCGCCCAATGTGGGCATGGCAAATAGGAAAATACTGCATTTTCTACAGTATTAGAGCCAAACTTAGCTACTAAATTGCTGATGGGATGTGAATGAATTCTCCAGTTGCTAACGCTCGACTGCAACGTTCTTACTTGATTATGTATAATTTAACATTAATAACAATTAATTTTTTGGTTGTATTAAAACAAGTACAAAAAACCCTAGTCGAGCCTGGTAGACTACAAAATCCCCTGAACCCTTCGAAGAATGGATATTTCACTCTGATTCTTCGAGTATTTCTGCTTACACAAGAAACACAAACATAGAAAATATAAGGATGTAAACATAAACACGCATTTGCAGCAGTGTGGGTTTACTATGGAAATTTAATCGAAATTATATAAATTACATAAAAATCTACATTTAAAATTTGGCGACTCTAGCCTTAAAGATGTAGTAAATATACATATATTACTGGTTTTCGATAATGTTTTTAATAAATAAAAAAATTACGTGGAGAGCTATCGATTTTTGAAGAAAAACTCGATATCCCCATGGTACATGGCACATTTTTTCCCATCGATGGAAAAAGTAATCGATTATATCGATGATTTCATCGAACATTTTTTCCTTTCAAATTTTACTTTTTTTTGTATAAAAGTCGTATTTTTCATAATAGAAATAAATGTAAATAATGCTCTTGTAATTTCATACTTTTCGTTGTACATATTTACAGAATAATAATAAAGAATATAGACAAATATAGAGAAAATATAAAGGTTTAATTCATTAAATTTTCAGTTCCAAAACATAACACAAATTCAACATAATGATTTTAAAGATAACTTAAATATATATATCAAGCGCAATCATTTCAGTCAGTGAATTAGCAAGACATGCTTTTTTCGCCGAGCTGGGGGCGTATGTTTCGATACGTGAAAGATACTGATCCAATTTTGGAGCAGTTGTTTCAACGTGGTCTCTTACCACGAAGGGATGTACACGTCTTAAGTGTTCCATCATATTGGAAGTGTTRCCGCTCGTGCGGTACTCWTTTCCGCAATGACGGCATTTGACAAGCATGTTCATCAGTTTCTCAAAATGTGACCAAACTTCTGATGTG